CTACCTTCGGTGCAGCTACATGGGAAGGACACTAAAGACCAGCTTTCTATCAAACATGGTGCTTTACAGTGAAGAGAGCATGGTACTAGCACCCAAGAGACCCAAATCCCATTCCCAGGTCTTGTGCTGGGTGACTATAGACCCTGTGTGTTCCTGTGCCTCTGTCTTGTCACCTGTAACATGGGGATAATTATACTTCTCCTTTCCAAAGCAACTTTGAAATCCATGAATGAAAAGTGCTGTGGAAGCAATGTGTATTCTTATTATCAACTTGACCTGTCCTGAGGGTTAGGTGGTTAAAAGACCCTAAATCCAATCTATACTACTGCTGTTGCTTGGGATATTTAGAGGCAGAAACCAGACCTGGATGTCAAAGAGTCCTAAAAAATGAGGGTTGAAGGGAGCTCAGGAGGTCACATCTAGTCCAACCCCCTGCTCCAAGCAGGACCAGCCCCAACTACATCATCTAGGTCTTCAAAACCTCCAAGGATGGAGAGTTCACCACCTCTGTGGGTAACCTGTTCTGGTGTTTTACTGCCCTCCTAGTGAGAAAATCCTTCCTAATATCTAACCTAAACCTCCCTTGCTGCAACTAGAGCCTATTGCTCCTTGTCCTGTCATCTGCCCCCACTGAGAACAGCCCAGCTCCATCCTCCTTGGAGCGACCCTTCATGTAGTTGAAGGCTGCTATTAAACCCCCTTTCAGTCTCCTCTTCTTTAGACTCAATAAGCCCAGTTCCCTCAGCCTCTCCTCATAAGTCATGTGCCCCAGCCCCCAAACCATTTTTGCTGCCCTCCACTGGACTCCCTTCCGTGTTGTGGATCCAAGAGAAGATTAATTCACTCCATATCTATCAGGCCAATGCAATGTTGGCATGGATAGTGTTGGAGGCATGGGAGATTACAGGTAATCTGGTGGAACCTGTAGCATACATACTTCCTCCCTGGATCCATGCAGGGAGGCTAAGGACGGATTACTGTTTCACGGGACACATCTGTGTGGCACTTACCCAGCCATGTAACTGCTGTTTTTGGCACTTGTGGACACTTATGATCCCACTCTGCAGGCACACTTGCATATTCTAGGCCAAACTTCCCTCTTGAGGCCCAACAACCACTCTTTGCTGTCCTGCTTTCATGTTCGATTACTCATTTTGAAATGTGGCTCATTGGTAGGTTCACGGCAGATTAAGTCAAAAAACCTGCACCAATTGGCAAAGGTTGTGCATCTCAAATTCATGTGGCTTACTGTGAAATCAAAGAGATGCTGGTCTGATGGGGTCCACCCATCTAGACATCACACATCTTCCTGTTGGCCAGAGCAGGGGGACAGCCGCTGGCTTACGGATGTAAGCCGTATTCTAGGCTTACATGCATATTCTAGGCCCATCCGTAAGCCGCTGGTTTACGGATGGGCCTTTGCTGATTTGATCTGCTGCCCATTTGGGCCAGAGCCAAAGGGCTGCATTTTACATGGCTTCCAACTAAATCCATCTGTCTGACCAGTCTCCTTGGGGACTCAGCTTCAAGCTTGCTGGAAAGCCAGCTAAAATGTCAGACTACAAGTGATTATGATTTTCAGATCTCCCTGGTATAGACAAGCACTTCAAGAATGACCCCATCTGTAGAGGTGCCCACGTGGCTGGCAATGGCTTGCATTGAGACTTCATGGAAGCCCAAACTGCGGAAATGGGTAGATACCTCACTGAGGGCAAGGTGAACTGCATTTATCTATGTAAAGGAGAGGCTGAATATTAAAGAGTTGAAGATGATAAGAAATCAACCATTATAATCATGAGATTATAAGGAAATCTCATGAGGTTCAACAAGGGCAAGTGCAAAATCCTGCATTTAGTATGGAAGAGTCTCATGCACTGCTGTAAGTTTGGGACCAACTGGCCAAGCAGCAGCTCTGCAGAAAAGGACCTGGGGGTGACAGTGGACAAGAAGATGGATAGGAGCCAGCAGTGTGTCCTTGGTGCCAAGAAGGCTAACCCCATCCTGGGCTTTATTAGTAGAAGCATTGTCAGCAGACTGAAGGAAGTGATTCTTCCGCTACAGAAAGGATGTGGACACATTGGAGACAGTCCAGTGGAGGGCAATGGAAATCGTTCAGGAGCTGCAGGACAGGACTGGTGAGGAGAGACTGAGGGACCTGGGCTGATTTAGTCTAGCAGCCTTCACCTCCCTGCAGGGGGGCTGCAAAGAGGACGGAGCTGGGCTGGTCTCAGTGGGGGCAGATGGCAGGACAAGGAGCAATGGGCTCAAGCTGCAGCAAGTTGAGGTTGGATATTAGGAAAAAAAACTTTCTCACTAGGAGTGTAGTAATGCACTGGGACAGGTTACCTAGAGAGATGGCGGACTTTCCATCCTTGGAGGTTTTTAGGGCCCGATTTGACAAGTCTTGGCTGGGATGATGTAGTTGGGGCTGGTCCTGCTTGGAGCAGGGGTTGGACCAGATGTCACCTCCTGAGTATCCTTTCATAATTCTATGATTCAAATCAGCAAAGGCCCATCCACTTCTATGGATTCAAGTCATCTTACACCCTTTGAAGCCCTGGCCAATTGAGACTTTAGTCACTCTTTTCTGACTTCAACCTGAGCCTGGCCACATCCCCAGGGACTTAGAAATGCCCAGCCCTTGTGTGTATCATGTTTCCCTGTTGTCCTAGAGCCTTATGCTGCAGGGACCCATCCAGGCATGCCAGTAAGATCTAGATTCAATATTTAACAATTCTTTTTCATCAGTAATTCCTATGGTATTATGGTCAGCAGGGCTGGTCCTGCTTTGAGCTGTGGGTTGAACTAGATGTAGCCTCCTGAGGTCCCTTCCCACCCTTATTCTTTATTATTGTATTATTCTTCTGCAGAGATGCCTAGAGCCAAGGGACTTCAGCAGAGCAGTTAATCTCTGATCTTTTATTTTCTTACTCTTTTTCAGGTTGAATTCACACCTGAACAGATTGAAGGTGAGTAGGTTTGCATCACTTAATCCTCAGTAAATACTCTCACTGCCATGTGTGGGGCAGAACAAAAATGAGATTATCACTCCTTGACACAAGGGTGGTTTAGCTAAGTGCTTTGCTATTTGCCTTTATTAGAAGTAGTATCTGCCGTATGATCAAACCTAGAAGTCCTGTATGAGATCAGTGCTGCATTGTGCTACATAAAGCCATAGCAAGAGGCTCTCAGCATGGGCACACTGTACTTTTACTCCTGAGTAATTTACTCCAGATCCTACTCGGCAAGACATGTTCTGTAGTCAGGAGAGGACACAGATGCAACTCTCTCAAGCTGGCAGTCTGATGTAGGTGCTGTAGTATCAGAGAAAAAGAGGGCCCCAAGGGACCTCAAGAAGTGATTTAGTCAAATCCCTAGATGAAGGTGGGACCATTTATGTCTACTTCATTTCAGATGAGTTTGCTGAGGAAAATGGGCTGATTGAGTCTGGAGAAGAGAAGACTGAGGGGGCTGAATAGCAGCCTTCACCTCCCTGCAGGGGGGCTGCAAAGAGGATGGAGCTGGACTGTTCTCAGTGGGGGCAGAGGACAGGACAAGGAGCAATGGGCTCAAGCTGCAGCAAGGGAAGTTGAGGTTGGATATTAGGAAAACTTTCTCACAAGGAGGGTGGTGAAGCACTGGAACAGGTTACCCAGAGAGGTGGTGGGATCTCCATCCTTGGAGATTTTTAATACCCAGCTAGACAAACCTTTGCCTGGGCTGATGTAGTTGGGGCTGGTCCTGCTTGGAGCAGGGGGGTTGGACTAGATGTGACCTCCTGAGGTCTCTTCCCACCCTCATTTTCTGTCATTTTAAGATTATATTGCACTCAGGACAATACACATTCCCCTGCTCCCCAGTGTGTGAGAATAACCCCATGCAACAAATATGCTCTTTCTCTGGACAAGACAGCCCTTCTACCCCTTGGAAAAAAATTCCTTGGCTTCAATTTGGATTGAATCTTTTTCAGTTACATGACGACTCTCCAGGACTCAGGAAGTGTATATATTTTGGGGGTCAAAAGCAAACGCCCATTCCAATTTCCTAATCACCAGCCCCGTGAAAACAAGTGACATACCAGCCCCGTGCACGGGCTGCTGTGAAGGCCACATGCCACAGCTGGCCTATTTCTTGAGATGTAACCGGAGCATGCAATTGAACATATGATGGGTTCTTCTGCTGGGTCTTAAAAACTGGAACGATACAAGCTTCTCAGAGGTAGCAGCCACAAAACAAGTCATTTGAAGCAGATGAAAGTCCTTTGGGGATCCTGGTTGACTACAGGGGACACAGTGAGGCCACTCACTGCCACTGCCAGGGGTTTTTCCCAGACAGGTTTTGCTAGATGAATGCTGTAGGCTTGGAAGAAGCAGTTTCTGTGACCCGTTCTGCCACTGAGTAGCTCGGCAACCTTTGGAAAGTCACTCCACCTTGCAACCTCGGCCTTAGTCTCCTGCCTAACACTAACAGATCTGCATGGTTAAACTGGACACATGTTTTTGGGGGCAGACCCAGATTCTAGCGATCCATGCCTTGAGGTCTCACGTGTACCCATACCGATGCTGAACCAAAGCTGGCCCTTTCATGTCCCTAAGCATGTTTCCCAACCCCTAAGGAGGACAAGACCTGTGAAACATAGGCTCTATCCTCTCAGATGATGGGTCACAGAGCTCACAGGACCGATTCGGAGCTGTAAGCCATCCTCTTTATACCCAGGGGCACAAAACGGCTGCACAACAGCTGGATCTCCCCAGCTGGAGCTGGGCTTGAACGAGCTCCTGTGCCCTCTCCCTTTGCTCAGTGGTCCTTACCATAAGACATTTGGAAGGTAAAGCTGATGATATAAAATGGCCAGAGTATGTTGCTGAAACAAGCTGACTGGCAGCCTGGTTTCCTTGGGTTTGCAGAATGGGAGATGCATGGAGAGGAGGGTGGTGTAGGGAGATGGAGGGGAGGGTTTGTTGAATGGCCTCATACAAGGAGTTACTGCTGTTCATCCTGCTGCCTCAAGGACAGGGGAGTGGAGAAGACAAAAAAGGGGCATATAGAAAACCTCGGGGGGACAATCTGGAGAAGGCCTGTCCCCAAACCTCCTGCTAATGGCCGAGTCAGCTGAACAGATAGAGAAAACCTCAGCAAAGGCTGGTGTTTGTGTGTGAGGTCTCAGAGAGCAGTGCCCTGTGTGTTTGTGCAGCTGCACACAAAGAAAAGCCACAGCAAAGGCAGGCTGGAGGGGCCACTTTCACAGCTGTGAAAGAAGGGCTGTGGTCTGCAGGCCAATTCACAGTAAAAGGAGTGATAATAACCAGCCAGGCTGGGCAGGATCAGACTGAGGGACATCATCCCTGGCAACAATGTGCAGGGGAAAGCATCCAGAAATTCAGCTTCTGAGGGCATCTGCCTAGGTCTCATGTCTCTCAAGAGCCAAGTGTGCCAGAGGAGGGATCAGACCGCAGTTTCTGACTCACCACTATTCACGCCGCTCCTCCTGCATCCCTGACACTGCCTCTCTAGAGCCCTGCAAGAAAGTCCAGCATCCTCCGCTAGCTGCAGGATGACTGCCTCCAGCTTGGAGAGCAGCAGGAACAAGGAAGAACTGGATGTGGATACTTCCCTGACAATTGGCAATGCTGGAGAAACCCTAATATGAGCTTTCTTCTCGTTGCACCTCAGCTTCCTCCCTTGCAAAATGATGGGCACAAACTCCTGCCTTGTTGCAAAGGTTAATGCCTCCTTGGGAAAGTACATCATAGGGTTATACCTAGGTTTTGGGGCTGTGGCAGTAATGGTTGCTAGCCACAGTTCCCAGATGTGTCCACCTGCTTTGGGCAATGGCAAAGTATGAGAGTTCAGGGGCTCAGGCAGTTCTGGCTTATGGTTGCTGAGTGTCTGCACAAACTGCCCTTAGCCCTGTGACCTGTTTCAGATCTAATTCAGTGATCCTCTCTTGGTTGATTCTGCTTGTCCCATTGGGGGTCTGGATGTGACTGCAGAGAGTATCTCCTCCAGCGGTCAGCAGGACCATCAGCACAGTAGCACGGACCTGTGCCATTAAAACAGGAGTCACCTCTTGAGCTGGAAGAAGTGGCAGCCTGTTTCCTTCAATATGGACCAGCCACTAACACATTTTAAAAATGTGTTGCAGGATTGTATCATCCTATGTCAGGTGGCGTCCACATCTGGAACATCCTCCTGCTTCTACTGAAGAGTGCCCTCCTTTAGCTTGTGATTTTGGTGGGGAGAGAGCTGAGTTCAGCCCTATGTAGCCATGGTCTGCTAGTCACAGGTCACTGGACACCCCATAAAACATCCCCTCTTGATCCTAAGAAGAGATGGATTAAAGTTATGGAAGAGGCAAGTCCAGGAGAGGACCATTCTTGTGGGATCTCTCTGCTAATGAACTACTGATGCAATATAAAGTCAATGAGCCTGATTCTTGTCTATGCTCAAGCTCTTTTACAATGCTCAGGTGAAGTAAAGCTTAATACACACCCATGTTAACTCTTTTTCACAATGCCGGAGTTTGGAAAAGGTCATAAGTGTAAATGCCAATCAGGTCTAATGACCTTGGTAAAGTTTATTAAATAACGTAGGCAAAGGGGGAGAGTTGTGGGTGTAGCCGTCAGCAGGATAAGCCCCATTCTGCTATGCCCACTCGCAGCTGCAGTACGGTTTCTTAGGGACCATAACCGTATGTTATGGTCCCTAAGACCATAGACTACTCCAGTATCGCTCAGGGTCTGCTCTGAGCGATACTTGAGTAGCCTGAGAATTAGGAAGTAACTTTAGGGGTTAAGTCGCCTACTTACTGGGCGCGTCTATGTGCTCATTAATGCACAGTGGTTACTGCATATTTAATTTACTACTTGTATAATCAAGTACTAAATAAATGAGCAGTAAATAGAGTCACTACAGTAGTGTGGATGTATGCCTTTTTAGTGACACTACTGCACAGTAGGCTAATAATACTGTGCAGTAGTGTACTAGCACAGTTTGTGCTGTGATGTGCTGCTGCCCAGTGTTATTAGGCTACTGCACAGTTAGCATTGCATGTAGATGCACCCACTTTATGCCAACCTCGCACCGGCAAAATGTTTCCAAACACAGCACAAGTTACCTTGGAGTGGGTTTGAAATGTTTTCTGTGTGATGGGTTTTCCCTCTCAAACCTGCTGTGCAGAATTAGCTCTGGCAAGCTTCTCCTTTCAAGGCTATTATGATGTGGATCTTGACAAGACAACTCTACTTTGTGCCCATGATCTGGTGCTATGATGGCACCCCAAACTATTGTTTCATATGGGAAAGAATGGGTCTTGGATGGAGCAATGTGAAATACGCGCTATGTTACCAGTTTTCTTTACTGGGTTGCCAATGGAATGAACTGGTGGGGGCTAGGTGTGTGTACTGGGCAGGGTATTTCTGGCCTCTTTCACTCCAGCTTTCTGAGCAGAGAAGAATATAAGCAATTCAAGCTGAAGACAGAAGTAGCAGTTAGTCATAAGAAAATATCCATAAATGCTGCCAGTGGTTTAACGGCTAACTGGAGTATGAAAGAGGCAACAGCAGCATTGGCTTCCCTGCTTTGAGTACACGGGCACTGGCCAAAGATGCTTTTTGTCTGTTGACAGAAATGAGCTTCCAAACCCATAGGCCAGTGCTTTGATTACAGTGTAGTTTCATTAGGATGAAAAAAAAAAAGAGCTGTGTGCGCCTGCGTGGCTTCCTATTCAATTAGCAGGCATTGCAAGGCCAGATTGGCACTGTCTCCTTGCCACACTGGGATGGCTACTAAACACCAACCCAGCTTCATGCCCAAACCTTGCAATAAAGGAGATAAATGTCTTAGGGGTGTTTTGAACCTGCACTCCCCATGGTGCCCATCTTGAGAGCAAATGGGAGGGATCTAGGACCATGGTGATGTGCTAGGAGAACAGGATAGATGTGACCCTCAAAGGCCCATTGCAAACTAAGCTCGAAGCTCAGGTACCCTCTTCACTTCCCTAGGTGCTTAGACAGCATAGCAAGAAGCTAAAGATTTCAAACAGGCAGTGGTTGCAGAGAGCCCCTGGAATGGGGAAGTGTGGAGCCAGTGTGGACATGTCCAACCATCCCTAAGAGGGCTCAGAGAACAAGACGGTATTGAACAGCGTCTCTCCTGCCAGTCAGGGAAATGTTCTTGAGAGGGAAACAGGAAAAGAAAAAAAAAGGGGAATTGTGGGGCGGGACCATAAGAGAGCCAGGGAAAGTCTGAGAAGCTTTACTGGACCAAGTGTAACACAATTTAAGAGCAAGGCTTCAAGTCAGGAACTGTCGACACTATAGCCATTTGGCCACCGCACCCCATAGAGTAGGTCTCTATCTTCTAAACCCTACTCATGACCCATGCCAAGGGTTGCTGTCCAAGGAGTGCACCGAAGAAGGGCTACTGAATCTCGTACCATGCTGAGCTGCAAGGTCCCCAAGGTTAGCCTTTCCCATGAGCTCTCCTGTATTTCTTGATCCGGAAATACCACAAGAAGGACCATTTGACCTCTCTGGTTGAATTCCTGCATGGAGCTAGGAAGTGCAGGGGAGGAGGAATGCAAACATTTCAGATAACAGCAACAAGAAAAGTTAATCAGATTCCTCCCCCCCACACCCTTCCTAGTTACAAAAGAAAGAGTGCAAGGCCCCGCTGAGCTAGAGTTTGGGTGAAGGTTCAGGTTGGTTGTTACTTCATACGAACCAGTTTAACATCAATCTCTTTCTCTTTCTGTTTGTCTTTGTGCGTCTCTCAGAATTTAAGGAAGCCTTCTCGCTTTTCGACAGAACTGCTGGCACAGAGATGAAAATCACATATGCCCAATGTGGAGATGTCCTCAGGGCTTTGGGGCAGAATCCAACCCAAGCTGAGGTCCTAAAAGTCCTTGGTAGGCCCAAACCAGAAGGTGGGTGACCCGCTTTTTGTCTGTGGCTTGAAATGAAAACACCCCAGGAATGAACTGTCAGGCTGAACAGACTATATCCCTCTCTTTGGATGGAAAGATGGAGTGGGGAAGAGCCGTGTAGTTTTACTGCCAAGGAGAAAGCCAATCACGTGGTCCGAGTACTTGACTAAAATTCAGGAGACCAGAGCTCAGTTCTAAGCTCTCCTGCAGATTTTCTATATGACTTCAATTTTCCCATGCCCCAGATATCCCCCTACATTTTGAGACTATTTAAGGCACTGACACTCAGTCCTGACTGGCTCCAGAGCTACACAAGTGGTTGGCGTTAACCAAAAACCCACAACAACATGGACGCTGCCAGGTGATCCATGGCAGATACACTCCAGTTCAGAAGAAGAAGAAAAAAGCCCTCTGGTGCCGTGCATTAGTTAAGGTTTGCACGGCACGTGTTGCATTGTTCACAACTGCAGGAAAGACAAACTTGATGCATGCAACACAGCAAAAACTCTCATAGATTCATAGATGGCAGGGACTGGAAGGGACCTCATGAGATCACTAGGTCCAGCCCCACTGCGCTTGGGCAGGAAAGACTGCCGGGGTCAGATGACCCCAGCAAGATGAGTGTCCAGATGTTTTTTGAAGATGTCCTGATTTCCAGTCAATAACATGCCTGGGAGCCATGTCTGAATATCACTGGTTAGAGGATAAAATTTACCCCTACATAATGGGCATTCAGAAGTTATGGCAAAGGCCATGGATATTTAGCTGAGGCTGTATTTGTTTCTTCCCCAGCCCTAAAGAAGGGCACTTTGTGATCAAAAGCTTGTGCAATACCTCTTCCATCTTGATCTAGTAAAAGATACTACTAAACCTTCTTGCTCACAGTTTCCCTGGATCATCACAACCACAATGGTACAACATGCTGAGGGACATGCGAGCAGAGACTGGATGTTAGCCCATGTTCTGCTTTCAGGAGGAAGCACCATGAGGTCTTTCAGGGTGGTTCTTAATGTCTTATGTGTCAGGGGCTCCACGGTGTCAGTGTGAGTCACTTCTATGACGACCCACACCTGGAATTACTGTCTGGTTGCTTCATGTCCAACTGAGGTCACCTGGGAGGACCAGGCCCTTATTGAACCATAATGGTAGTATAGAGAGAGAGCACGAATTGGGCTGCTGGTGCAAGTGGGGAATTGAGGGATATCTCTAGCAGAAGCTACCCTATACCAGGACTCTTCTGTCAGTCTGGAAGGCAGAAAAGCATGGAAATCAGCAAGAGAAAAGGCCTATTGGATGCCCGGTCCCTTTCTTGCCACCACAGTACACTTCCCGCATGTTACTCCACAGAATACGACCAGTCTGTCTTTAAACATCTCCATGCCGTAGGGCTGCCATTGCCTGTTGTGTAGCAACATGGGTTCCACCATCAGAAATATTTCTCCAATATTCATGATAGCTTGCTCTGACTCCTTCTCATTAACAAGCCTCGATTAAACAAAAGGGGTTGTTTTCTTTCCTTATGACTCCATGACCCTTGTCGGTCCTACATTCCTAAATTTAAACATTTCAGATACTCTCTATCTGCCCATCTGTTCCCAAGACATGTTTCCACATCTGTCCCTGCCTCTGGGTTTACTATGTTCTCGGGCTACTGCCAATTCAGCTGATAGCTTTTCCATGCAGCCCCACGTACACCCTTTGTGAGGTCCCCTGTGCTCTCTGAAAGGCCAGAGCATTCAATCCCCTCTTTCTTTTTCCTTTGTGCGTTTGCAGAAATGCAGTCCAAAATGATTGACTTTGAAACCTTCCTGCCGATGCTCCAGCATGTCTCCAAGACCAAAGACACTGGCACCTATGAGGACTTTGTGGAGGGCCTGCGGGTTTTCGACAAGGAGGGGAATGGGACTGTCATGGGGGCTGAGCTCCGCCATGTTTTGGCTACGCTGGGTAAGGAGAATCCATCTTCACAACCTTTTGGCTTCTGAGGCCTTTTCCATATAGCTAGCAGTGTCCTGGCAAGTTTGAACATTCACCACTGTCTCTGCAGGTCAGATGGGCAACTGGAGACTGAGGTGGGGGATCACATTATCCTCCAGGAGAAAGCCTACAAATTGCATCAATGGCTGGATGGATTATTGGCCTGACTCATTATGGCAGATCTTATGTTCTTATTATTACTGACTATTGAACAGAACATTTGGAGATGTTTCCTTTGGCATCTCAAAACTTCAAATAGTGGACACCAGGGAGGGTGACAAATATGGGATGGCTCGCTCTAGAGTTGTTTTTCCTTTATAGCATCCGCTTCAGCCACTATAGAAACAGGAGACCGGGCAAGATGGACCACTGGCCTGACCAATTATGAAACTTCTCATGTTCTTATGTCCAGCTAAAGATGATTGACCTTCACCTCAAATGCCGAGATTTCCTTCCTTCCTTCTATTGCTCCATTTCCCATGAAAACCCTTAAAAGTATTGGCAAAAGGTTAAATTTAAGCTGGGTAATGGGGACTACTGACTTAGCACCAAACAGCTAAACTCGTAGTAACATTTTTGTGCACACCTTTGCCTGCTATAAGTGAAAGGTAAATCAGGGCAGCTTAGCTCTGCTTTATTCAGACACATTGCCCCTGATTTGCTACTGTTTGCTATGGGGAAATTGCAGGCAGATGCTGTGTGATTAGGCCCTTTCCCTTGTTAACTCACTTCATTTTGACTGTTGGGCTCTAATCTAAGGACACAGACAGGTTAAGATGGGAAATTTAGCATAACTGCGTGTCAACTGATTCATTATAACTGGCCACTCCTATGTTGCAGTAAGTGAAGCTAAACTGCAGTAACTTAACCTAAGATGGGCAGCCTATCTCAGTTTAACTTCAACACACTGCAGGACAGGTTGGATGAAAGAAATATGTAGAGAGGATTCAGCTGACCCACAATAAGTCCCTTACCTTTTAAAATGATTTAACTTTTCATCTGCCTTAAGGATGTGAGGCCAAATAATCACCCAATTCTGGAAAATATTTGCTTTGCAAATTGTGAAAAACTCATCTCTCTCCCCATTTTTTAATTTTATTTGTCATGTAGATTTATAAGGAATCTTTTGGTTTATCTCCTCTTCTACTGACTCATTTATTCAGCTGAAATGGCTCTGCAATGGGCCTTTGCTAAACTTAGCAGAGAATTTATAGACTTTTTTTTTCCCCTACCACCTCTTGACTTCCGAAATCCAGGGTTTCTTCATGCAATGAAAGGTGATGTCATCAACACAAGAGCCAGCCTGAAAATGTTGCTGTAAATCAGGGTGAAGCTTTCTTTTTCTGTATTCAACAGCACTGAAGTGCTCTGTTGTCACTGGCAACTTAGTAAGCCTCTTTTGAGATCAGCTTTTACTCATTAATTTTTGGCTAGTTTTTTTTTTTAAGGAACTAAAAGATAGTCCCCTCTTGAGTGGAGACCAAAATCCACAAGAGATGGGTCCTGATCTGAGATTTTGGCTCTGAACTCCAAACCTGTGATTCAAAGGGCATTGATTCCATTTCAGCTCTGGCCTCCGCTAACAATACAACTAGAGATTCTTAAAACAATGAAATTTAAATAGCTGACCCCTTCTCTCCTAAATTCTGTGATGGGAGGAAATGGGTACAATGCCAGGAAATCCAGGGGTGATGCAACTGCTCAAGCCACCTTCTACAAAGACACCAGCCTGGTCAGTTCTGCAAGTTGCATAGATATTTCCTCTTTCTGCAATGTGCAGCATCCATGTGCCAGCATCCAGAGGACTACTGAAATGGTTAGGGCAGGTTGTGTTCACTCAGGCAGGAAAGTTCAAGAGTAAGCACCAATCAAGGGCTCTTATGCAGACTCAAGTCCCTTCGACTTTGGTCATTCTGGCTGCATCTACACGAGACGCTGACTGCAAGAGCTCATGACTACTGCGCAGTAGCTCTCTGCCTTGAGTTTGGGTACTTTGCCCTTGAACAGAGTATGGATAAATTTGTGTCATGCTGAGCTATTGAGAGGGCACTTCATATGGTGAAAGACAGCCATCTAGTCCAAACAGTGTGACTATGTGAAAGGCATTGCAGGAGGGAGGAAGGAGTTTCAATCTTTTAGGCTAGGGACAGAAATTACACATAAATTGGTCCAAGTCATCAGGAACCAGTTCAAATCTGTAACAGAAGTTCAGCGCACATAAACCGCTTTCACAATGGCCAAAAGCAGTTTAAGATAGAACTGGATGGATGTAGTATCAGACTTAAATAATTTAGGTTAAATCAGTTTATTGAACTTCTGTCCCACTTCCCTTTTAGATTCAAGTTAATTCACAGTCCCCCAGCATCCCAGGATGCTTTGCACCTCCCCTGAAGATTCCACCTTGCAGGGTGGCCTAGCTAGCTGTCTGCTCCAGCGGAGCAGGGAGATATACTCTAGCACCCCCCAGCCTCTGGTTTGGGGCACTGCAAGCCCGTGGCTGCATTTCTGAATCAAAAGTGAATGTCTGTTCACTTGCTTATTGGTTCAGTCTCTGCAGTTTAGACTAACTTGTGGAGATTGAATTGATTCAGCCTCAGGCTTTTTGACTATCTGTACTGAGCCCTAGTGATGATATAAGCTACCATTACAACCAGAGATTGAAACCCTGTTTCCTCCTCTCAAGTATTTTTTTAAACGGTTATTTTTAACATCTTATTTAATCTGGTTTATATTTGGTTCTTAATGCTCCAATAAGAGATGAAGGTGCTAAAGTGTCTTATAATCTGTTTTTCTCCCCTATAGTGTTATGGAGTCTATATAGGTGTGCTGCTATAAAGTGAGTAGCAATGGTTTGAAGGAACCCAGGCAGGCTGCAGATACAACATGGAGGAAGGTGCCTTTAAGTCATAGGTGTATTTTGGAGGGTGATCACAACATGAGCAATGGTTCTTGTACACTGAAATACTGAGCAGGAATTTTTTTTCCTGCCTAGGTGAGAGGCTGACTGAAGAGGAGGTTGACAAGCTAATGTCTGGTCAGGAAGATGCCAATGGCTGCATCAACTATGAAGGTAAGACGTGGGGTCAGATGTAGATGGACCTCTAGGCTTGAAAGTTTGTGAAAGCCTGTGAACCCCTGGCCCACAGATGATTCAGATCTGGATTTGGTGTTCTCCAGAGGTCAACAAGGTTAGGCACCAGCATCTGGTTCAGGCTCATTTCACTGAAAGAGGTGTCATACCCTTTCTGCATTTGGGGATGGTCATTGCCTGACTCAATACAGACAGACTGTTATAATGATTTGGAATGGCTATTTCTATGTTCTTGACACTTTGTCTCTTAGGAAAAATTTTCCTGGCTACGCCCAGACCTCTCTGTCTTTGAATTTGGGCTGGAAATCCACCCTGAGATTGCCTCAATGGAAAAATATTAAATTCTCTAAATCAAACATGGCAGAGTCCTAAGTACACTCTTTACTTTCTTTCCTCCTCTGACCTGATGATTAATACTGTGCATTTGAAAGCTTGTTTAACTTTATCCCAACTATGCATTTGGTCCAATAAAAGATACCACCCCAACAAAATCCTAAGTGCTGTACATTTTGAAAGAAGTCCATGTATAGAAGTGAAGATGTGTGGGAGTGATACAATCACAGGATATATGACTGGAAGGACCTCCTGGGTCATCATGTCCAGACCCACTGCTGCAGGCAATCCCATCATGCAATCTTCTGTCTAAGAAGCTGCCTTGGCAGAAGGAACCATGTATGCCCAGTTGTCTGGGGAGCACATCTGAATCAGTTAACAACTTGTCTAAACCTCACTTCCCTGGGTCAATACATAGAATTAGGGGAATAATAGATTTTTCTTTCTATTTATACTTATATATATATATATATATATATATATATATATATTGGTGCCAATAGAAAAAAATATATATAGATTGATATATCTATCTATATATGTATATATCTATATCTCTATCTATATATTCATAGATTCGTAGATTGTTAGGGGCTGAAGGGACCTAGATCTAGATCTAGATATATATTGGTAAAGAGCAAATAGAAAAAGGTCTATTATTTCCTTAGTTTAAATACAAACACACACACACACACACACACACACACACACACATTAGGTTATTAGGTCAATATATAGAGCTAGGGGAATAATAGATCTTTTTTCTGTTTGCACTGAACAAATATATATCTATATCTATATATAGATAGATATATAGATATAGATATAATTTTGCATCAGCCAAAAAGTTGTTGGGAAGAAAATGTGCTGCTTTGCCTGAAATAAACTTTCTATTTCTTTTGTTAAACTTCTTTTTTTTTTTTTTGTAATAATTATTGGCAAATTTACTCTGATAGAGCAAAATGCCTCTCGACATTTACTTTTAGAAATTTGGACTTTCTGACTCAGATCAAGTATATTAATGTTTTGCTGAGCTCTTATTACCAAGGTTTTTGGGGTATTACTTACAAAGTTCAGCTGCAATGCTTGTAGTAAACAACATGAGGAGAATGGCATTAAATAACAACAAAATGTTCTAGATTTATCCCAATACCCCTGATATATACCCATGGGCAGGGATGATCAATTCTCTTCTCGTTCTGTTCCTTCCAGCTTTTGTGAAGCACATCATGACCAACTGAATGCCAGGTAAGCCTCCTCCTCTTCTCACAGTGCTGTTGTCTGTCCAGTTTTCCTGATGGTTGTTCAGTCTACAGCTCGGCACGGTGCAATCACGTGCACAGAACCGATCCTTTTTCTCCAGCGATTCTGCTTCTGAAGTTGTTCTGTTAGAAGCTACAGATGGTGATCATGAGACAAAACATTGGACTGACTTTCCCAACATGGTGTCTTATGATTCAGTTGTGTGAAGGGGACATTTATCAGCTTCAGATCATTTTTTCTAGAGGTTGCAAGGCAGGTCAAGCCAGAGAAGAATTTCAGATGATCACTCTGACATAGAAAACTATGGGTTTCTTAGCCTTAGATTTACCGCTTGTTCTTCTGTGTGAATTAAGTGACACTTTTGTGTAGGTGGGCATTACAGAGGGGCAATCTATAGAATCACAGACTTATAGAAAATGGGGGCTGGAAGGGACTTGTCCAACCCTCTGCTCCAAGCAGGACCAGCCCCAGCTACATCATCCCAGACAAAGCTAAATGTTCAGCTTTTGAAACCCTAGTGTATTGTACATATTATGAGGGTGTAAATTAAATAAGACTGGCTGTGTCTACCTGTGTGGTGCACTGCCCAGTTGTTACTGCGCAATCATTTAGTACTTTCCTACTAGTACTAAATGACTGTGCAGTAACCAGCATTACTGCACAGTACCGGTCCCATGTCCCCCCCAATGCTACTGTGCAGTAGCAAGGAGTTACTGCACAGTAGCTCATTACTACTGCACAGTAGTATCACCGCACAGTTAATGCCCGGCAATGCTACTGCGTGATAGCAATGAGCTATGGTGCAGTAGCTCATTGTTACTGCACTGTGGTGTCTCATGTAGATGCGCTCAATGAACCCTAATTTTGGCTTATCTTTTACTAAGTGACATGATCCAAGGTTTTGAGAAGAGAAGAAAGACCAAGTGAAAAAAAAAATATCTGTCTGTCTCTCTCTGTCTCTTAGATTGGCTTGGAAGCCTCATCATTGGGGGAAGTCCAAAAAACAATTAGCGTCTAGGAGTGAAAAATGTCAGCAGGCTGTAGAAGGAGCTAGGCCAAAAACTTCCCTTCTTGGCTGCCACATAGCAATCCTGCACATCACAGTGGAAATATGGCAAAGCACTTCTCAAAAACTGTTGATTTTAAGTGCCTCAGTGTTTGGTGATTCAGCTTAAGACACATTAAAGAGAGGCCTTGTTTTTAGAGGGTGGGTGCTCAACTTTTTTTAAGGGGAAATTGGGCCCCTTAAAGGCCACTCAAGCTGGGAGGCAAAAAATCAAGCCCCCCCAAATTGCTAGTCACTTTTGAAAATGTTGGTGCCCAGCTGAGCTGTCATAACCTTTTTTCTGCAAGGAAAATGAGAAGTGACCTCAGTAGACAGAAAGTCCTTGCAGTGGAGAAAAGACAAATTATCTCTACAAGTCACTCAAAATAATGATTCTGAACTCAGCTCTCAAGAGAATTACTGGCTTTCTATAGCTCTGGCTTCACTCCTTTATAGGAAACCATCCATTTTCCAGGCAAAGACCTCAGCTGTCTGAGCCATTACCTTCTGCTTCCCATTCCACAAGTGGGCTCTCCAAACCACGATACAACTTACATGCCCCCAAACCCAGTCTCGCCATTGCAAACCAGCTGAACTTCATTTCCCACATTTATTACCCTTGGTTTTCTATATCTGCCGGGAACATTTCTGACCATCTTGCACCGGCATTCACATCTTGTCAACTCTTGGGAAACTTTTTGACCAAAGTATCAAATACCCGTGCTCTGATTTGCAAAGTGGCTGATAGACTGGGAAAGACATTGGCTTCTTTTGGACTCATTCCTTTCTTTTTTCTTCTTCTACTTTGGTTTATTTTTCTACCATGTCCTGCCTGGGCCCAGCTTTGTTTAGCTTGTGGGTCTGACCTTATCACAGTGCATGGTGACATGCCTGCCGAACAGTGATCTTTTTTGTTGTGTTCACTGGAGCCCCAGGGAGTGAGTTAACTTGAGTAGGAATCAAATCCAGGTCCTCAGTGCTTTTCTTCCAAAATATAATTCACCAAAATGTAAGCTGGCTTTGAACAGCCGGGGATTTTTCTTTCCCTTTGTCACAGTCCAGTTCTCTTTATTTCAGGCATTTCTCTCATCTAAACACACGCAGTTTTAGTTAGAGGCTAGCAGTTTCTCAGCTCCAAAGATATGATCTGGTCGGCTCCCAGAATGGACCATGTCCATAGCTATCATCATTCATTAGGATGATTATTTAGAGAATGCTTGATCCCTAATGAACCCAACCCCCAGTTTTGGAAGAATTTCTCTCTGTTGGTGAATTCTGTGATAGTCCCCTAGAGCAGATCAAAGACAAGCCGACAACTTGAATCTGAACTGATCTGAACTTTTGGAAGTTGATTAGGATCTGGGTCCAGATTACATAAGTATCTTCCCCCCCCCTCCCCTCCCCTCCCCTCCCTCCCTTTTTTTTTTTTCTCCTTGAATTGGTTTAAACCAAATCAGGTTTGAACATCTCCCAGTGCTAGCTGAAGTTTGGGTCTGATTCCAAATGTAACAGCTAAAGTGCATCCGTCTTCTTTTTCCTTTATGATCATTGTTATTTGCCTCTCTGCCTCTTTCTTTTTGACCACAGAGTGGTGCCTCAGTTTGCTTTGCTCTCAGCAGCTGCACAATCTTGATAATACCAGATAATTTGTTACATCCTCTATTAGTGACTCCATGGTGGATTTCTTAGACCCCCCCTAGGCCAAGTGCTGTCTTGGTTCCAGGCTGCTCTTTCTGCTTTGCATTCGGCCTCCCTGTGAGAAACGTTTCCAGATTTGCTGCTCTTTTATTTCCTGCTGCAGGAAATGCTGAGCCCTTGCTCGGTGTAGGTCTGCAGGGCACACTGCAATGCAAGGCAGAGATAGGCAAGCAAGCTATAAGTGAGCTAGGCTAGGTATTAGAAGCAATCTTGCTGTGATAGCATGCCGTGTAGTGGTACCCTCGGTTATCCTAAAGGGAGAAGGTGGCTGGATAGCACTGTGCTGAGTGAGGTGAAAGAAACTCAATTAGAAAACCACTGTGATCTACTAAATAGGGAACTGGACTGATCCTCCGGAAGATTTTTCCCTATTCTTGGCCCTACCTCCGAGCCACTGGGTTACCTTGGGCAAGTCACTTTATCTTCTCTGCCCTCTGTTTCTTCCTCTTCCATCCTTTCTCTGTTTCTCCTATTTAGACTGCAGGATCTCAGGGCAAGGATGGTCTCTCACTTTGTATAGCACCTAGCACAATCTTACCCTGGGAACTTTAGATACTATGGCAATTCAAACAATAGCACTAGAGAGATCATTGCCATTGTTTTTCATTACGGATGAGCTGAGCACAGATCCAAGAGAAATTGGAGCTGGTTGAGGATGTTGTTCATGGCTGTTTTTTTCCTAATGATTAAAAATAACTTTGTTTTTAGGACAAGACCGACTCTGCCGAAACCCCGACACTGGCCTTGGATTTCGACGTAACGGAATGTCTCTTCGTTTTCCAGCCCAGATTCCTGCTACAAAGCTACACAATGTACCAGCCCTGAAGTTATTTGGATAGATATATTTCTTATTCATGGGAGGAAATTGGCCTCTGCCAAGACACAAAACAAATGGAAATCAGAAGGCATTAGGGTCTAACTTATGGGTACCTGGGCAGTCTCATTATTCTTTAATGCCAGAGATAAAACAGCACCTTGATATATCTAGACTGGGTGGATGGATATTTCACTTATTTCATACATGGTTGCACCAAAAAAGAATTTGACAATTAGAAATTTAGCAGGATTTTTTTCCCAGATCTTTGAGTCTGCGTCTCCTACCGAAACTCAAGGGTTCAATGTCAGCTCAGAAATGTGGGTTCTCCTATGAAAGGGGCAAAATAGAGTAGATTTAAGTCTCGTTACTGCAAAGATCTCTGCTATGCAAATAATATTTTCTGGTGCGGGAACATATTTAGGAAAAGTGTTCAAGACTGATGTTGAATAGCCACCCATCCACCAGGGAAAACAACCTAATTCTCAAACTTTTGGGGTCCAGAAAGCACCACAATGAGGTGCAAGATCTAGATTTGGGGTGAAACATCATATTTTTAACCTAATTGCAACTATTTTATACGGGTTGCCATATGGTATATCTTTTCACCTGGGTTACTTGGTACAACAGTCCCAGTGACGGTGTAAGTGAAACATCCATCTCAGTTCAGACCAGACAATTTTCTAATATCCACTCCTTGCTACTGTAGCTTTTCTCATTAAAACATTCTTTTCTCAGGTGGGTGTCTTCATAGTTTGCACTCTTGTTTTTGTATCTGTAGTGTGTGTGTGTGTGTATGGGGGGGGGGGTCAGGTGTGTGTCCATGGGAGGTGGGCTAAACATATAACCCCAAATTAAAACTGGATTTGGCTCTGAATGTCTTATGTCTGTGGTGAGCTGAACATAGACATGGTGCCCAGAGTTCAGTATTTTCATGGTTTATACTCCATTTCCACATCTGGCACTGGGGTTGGTGATGAGGAATTTGAGGGTGCAACCAAACAGTGTCACCCACATTCACCATAGGGATGCTCCCAAGCACTCACTCCTGCTCATGTATGCCATACCGAGAAATATTGCTTGGGAAGTTGTGACAGTCACTTTAAGATGAGAACAAGTTCTGGGAACAACTCAGGCAGCATTCAGGGAAGATCCTGACTGGAAGGGGGCAGGGCTTGAGGGATATATAAGCCCAGGGCCTGGGGTAGGGACACAGTCTCATCCAGGTAGCTGAAAGGGAAAGACCTCCCAAGCAGGCTTCTGGGAGAGTGACCATGGCTCACACCAAGCACTGAGGGGAGGTAAGGAGGTCCCAGCTGGTCCAGGGAGAGAAGAGGCAGAAGGCCCAGAGAGACAGAGAGCAGGGGATAGAGGGCTTGGAAAGAGGGAAGAAGGCCAGAGGGCCCAGGGAGCAGGTGGGGCCAGGGTGTCTGTAGGTCTGGAGTGGGACCATGGATCAGGAGGGGCTGAAGGCCAAAAAGGGCCATAGTCAGAGACCGGCAGGGATGAAGAGCCCTGGGGTTTCAAATGCTCTAGGAGTGGTGCCAAGGTCTAAGGAGAAGGACCAAAAGCCAGGAGGGTCACAGAGGGAGACTGAAGGGGCCAAAGTGCCTATAGCCAAGAGAGGAACTGCTGAATCAGGAGTCCATAACCTGTAGGGGTGGTTATGATTGATTAATATGTGAGACATCTGCAAGGCAGGGGTGTGGGTATTGGGGATGACAGAGCCCACATAATCAGTCCGTAAGGCGATGAGCAACAATGCTGACAGTCATGAGCTGATTGGACTTGGGAAACCCTGGGGCAGCCTCCTTTTTCTGAAAGTATCATTTCATCAAGGCATGGCAGGAGAGGAGAAGGGGAAATTGCCCAAAGGCAGCCAAGTTGACAGGGACAGAGCGGGTTCCAGGGTCATCATGGCCACCCTGGAGTTGGACCCCATTACAAAAGCCTTCTCTGAGGACAACCCTAGCTGCCACGTACAAACATGCTGCAGACCAAGGTCTTAAAAGTGGCTATGGGAGGAAGTCTGCAGAGCATCATCACTACAGCTCTGGGCTTGGCCTGTGACAGGGGCAGCAGTGGGGAAAACTCAGGTATATTCATAGCGAGACCCACCAGGGACATGGTGTGAACACCCTGATGATTCCCCTCCAGAGCAGGGTCACGAGATGTGGTTCTATCACCTACGTTATGCTGGAGGCCAGACCATGGGCTTAAAACTGTTCTTTCTATCCTTAAAATCTATGCATCTTTTTGGATCTAGACCAAGATTTTGGGGGTCTGTTTTCAGTCCCCACTCCAACAGGAAAAATCTAGCCATTTTTACGGTCTCATTAAAGATTGCATTCAAGAAGATGAGATTTCATAGATTTCATAGACATCAGGGCTGGAAGGGACCTTGGAAGATCATCGAGTCCAGCCCCCCGCCCAAAGGGCAGGAAGTCAGCTGGGGGCATAGGATCCCAGCAAGATAAGCATCCAGTTTCATCTTGAAGGTGTTCAATGAAGGCGCTTGAACCACCTCCGGTGGCAGGCTGTTCCAGACCTTGGGGGCTCGGACAGTAAAGAAGTTCTTCCTTATGTCCAGCCTGAAACGATCTTGAAGTAGTTTGTGACCATCAAACATGAGGTATTCAAACACATGAGGTATTCAAACACTCTCACAGGCAAAGACAGTGGATGATCTGGACCGGATACCAGTCTGGATCATCCTGATACTTTTATGAGATGAAAGAAAAAAGAATGTCCTTCTAATATCTCATTAGACCACAAAACAGCCATTCCCCAGGGCTGTGTGGATGGCATCCGAGAGTTATTGTAAAGAATACAACAGAACATCTAAACTTCTAAATTATCTGGGTGAAAATTCTTGTCTCCTGAGAACATGAGCTCTTCCCCAGTTAATTTTAGTAGAGAATGCCACAAGCTTGAAACTCAATGCCTGTGTTATCAGATCATCTCGCCTTGAATATAGCTCCTCAATGCTCTTCAAATTTCATGCAATACCCAGGTGTTTCAAGCAAAATATGGAGGCATTCGTGAAACATTTGCAAAGGTTTCCACATTTTTTTTCACCAGTTCTAGAGTAAGTTGTCATTTTTCAAAGTTGTATAAATGTCAAAATTTGGGAAAAACTGAGGAAATATTCCTCCTTCTATTTCCATCCATTTCCTGGCCCTACATTAGTTAGTGGTATCCCTCCTGATGAGCATGTGTGGTCTGTGAAGCCTGTGCTTCTCGCATTGCTACTTTGGGTACTCATATATTTTTACACCTCACATTCACATGTTGGGGTTTTTTTTTGATGTGTGCTGTGTGATTGAGTGATTGACGCCTCTTACATCTATGACTAATTTATAGTAATTATAGCAAATTCTTATAAATTAATACATTCCAATGATGTGCAACTGTTGAAAAGGAATGTGTGGTACTGCCTTAAGTGAACTCCATCTTCTGATTATTCCCAGGTCTTCACCAACTTTCCAGCCAGAAGGAGCCAGCCTTGAGATTCCTCTCCCCTCTTGAGGCTGGTCCCAGTATAGGACCTGACCGTGCATAATTCAGATCGTGTGATACTGTGCGCTGGCATGTTTATAGCAGGAGAAAGGACCCATCTTCCCACAAGCCCCAGTGCAGGTGAATCAGTTCCATCTACTGCCATTAGCTCCATCTCTCCTCAACTCCAAGCCAGCATGAAAGCTCCACCTTATCTTAAAATCATAGAAAAACAGGGTTGGATTGGATCTCAGGAGGTTCATGTAGTCCAAGTCCCTACTGAAGGCAGGACCCATATTGTCTAAACCATCTCACACAAATGTCTAACTTGGATTTAAAATATTTCTAATGGTGGAGATTTCACAACTTCTCTAGGAAATTTGCTCCAGTGCTGCACAATCCTTAGAGTTACAAAGTTCTTCTAATATCCACCTAAAATGTCCCTCATTGCAAATTTAAGACCAGTACTTCTTGTCTTGTTCCTGGAAGCCACAGAAAATATCTATCCCCATCTTCTTCCTAACCAGCTTTCAGATACTTGAAGACATTGCTCTCCTTAGTCTTCTCTTCTCCAGACTAAATAAACCCTCTTCTGCCAGCCTTTTCTCCATGTTTCTCAGCCCTCTCATCATTATTGTTGCTCTTTTTGGACTCCTGTCAATTTGTCTACACCTATCTTATGGCATGGTAGATGGATTTGTCTTTATCAGGTGATCCCAACTCTACTTAAACCCCAGAAAATGGAGCAGTTTGAGATGATAAAAGGCTGAAGACTGGATTTCTATCTAAGAAGTACAGAGGACATCTCTTTAGGCAGAAGGAAGAAGAGGCATTAGCCCATGCTGCCAGCCTCTACCACTCCTGAGTTAGATTGTCAGTCACCTGTCAAAGTACTCCATCATTGTCCTTCGTATTTCCCCTGAACACTTTCTCTTGCAGCAATGACTGCAAAAAACCTTGACAACAGTTGGTTGTCCAGAGACCACTTCCTGACATCCTGAATGAAACTGTTGAACTCCCTCTGTGACTGTTTGCATCCACCTGTTGCCTCCTGTCTTATATTCTGGCTGCAAATCCATTGGGAAAGGGCTGTCTTTTGCATCTGTGTATGTACAGCTCCTGGCATATGTAGATCCCATCCATAAGTGATCCTACTAGGTACTATGGTAATGAAAGTTTGAGATGGCACCAATGATGACAACAAAGAATAGCAATGCTAATGCTAACTCCCCCAAAATGTTAGTAGAAGCATTAGAGAAGCTCCCCAAATTGTGCAAATCATTAAAAAAATCATGAGGCATTTGAATACTTGTATTCTGTTTGCTCAAGGCATTCATAAATAAATGACTCCAACCCTGAATGTGGGAAAAAGTGCTGCCGAATTGTCAGGCACAGAATATATTGTAAATATAAAGTAAAACTATACATGCATTGGCATTCGCAGATTCAGTCGAAAGTCACTTTAGATTCACACAGGCAGATTCAACACATTCATCTATCTCACAATATGTAGGGGGTGAGTGGGTAGGGTTCTGTGCGCCTGGGTGCATTTAAACTCAAAGAGGCCATATTTTCTAGCATCCCTCCATGGCCACCAATTCATTAAAAAATAGGGCAGAAGGGGCCCTCAAGAGACCCATCTAATGCAATGGAGATCAGTCTTTTAGAGCATCAAGTCAGGTGCATAAGACCTGGATGCTTTATGAGGCCAGGGATCCCCTTTGCTAGGTGACATGGGGAGGGAGAAAAGGAGGGTGTTGGCTGCCAAGGTCAGAGGGAGGGGAGGGAGAGCAGGGAGTGAATACAACTTACTTCTGGTAAGCAGTGCTTGTCTAGGAAAAGGGTGAGGGAGAAGAAGACGGAGAAAGTAAGGAGCATCTGCCTTGGTGAGGGGAGAGGGAGAGAGCAAGGTGGGCTGTGGAGGGGATCAGCATCGTAGCACAGGGCAGGGAAGGAGATCCGCCAGGCCTAGCTGAATGCTACTGATTCCCCATGCCTGCTGACCAGATCCAGGCACTTCAGGAGCCAGATTTGGCCCACAGGCTATACATTGGGCACCAACCCCCTGCTCCAGGTGGGATCACCCCTATCTAAAATCATCCCAGACAAAAGTCCGTCTATCCTGCCCTATAAACATTTCCAGGGACAGAGATCCCCCAGCCTCTCTAGGTAATCTATTCTGGTGCTTAACCAATGGTAGGGCCAGGGATTTAAAACATGCCCATAGTGGCTGAGATGCTCATATAACCACATGCCTGGGGCTTTAGGAGAGCACATGCATTTCTGGATCAAGTCAGGAGAATGGGGAATGCTGCATGGGAGGACTAAGGCTCATGGCTGGAGCGGTGCAAATGGCCCGGCTATGAGGACCAAGAAGGAGGGAAGGTCAGTCGGGCTGTCTGGGCCCTGGGTTGGGAATAGCGCGGGGGGTGTGCGAGGCGAGGAGGAGGAGTGGAGTGAAGGCATTGGGACTAAAATAGCTCTCAGTGTTTGAGCCGAGGTGGCTCAGCAGAGCTATTTGTAGTAGCCAGGGAGGGGCTGCAGGTCAGGGCCAAGGTGCTTTGGTGGAGAGGCGTGTATGTGTGTGTGGGAGAGGGCTGGATGCTTGCCCAACACTGCCTGGGCTTTGCTTGTCCCAGGACGTGCCGTTACAGCATTTTGCTTTCATGAGCACAAGATTCACTCCCAAGTTGACAAGAATAAATAAATAATATTATCCCCCCCCCCAGACGCACACATCCCCCACTTCCAGAAAAAACAACATCCTATCTGGAGAATGTTTCTTCTTGTCAAATGTGGCCAGGAGACCTGCCAAGTTTGGAGGAGATCTTTTTTTAGCAGGACCATCTGGCTCTTTGGGAGACTCCCGAGGGAGTTGAGCCGGTGGCTTTACATCTGCTGTGGTTAAGCTGCTAATGGATGGACTGTCTGGGCTGCCGCCTTCTCCACTGATTTTCGAGTCCCAGGCCCGAAAATCTATGTCTGAGCCTGATGACCTCTAGTGCTCCTGCCAGAATTACACATGGCAGCAATTTCCATCGCAATATCCCACCATGCAGACGAAGCAAGAGGGTGGGACGGAGCTTGGCTATCCTTTCCTTTGAACCCAGGATGGGAGCAGGGGGAATAATCTTTTTTTTTTGATGAAGCAGCCAAACCAGAAATTCAAGGAAAAGAAAAAAAATCCACTCCAATTGAATCCAAACTGATTTGTTTTTACTGTTTCAATTAAAAAAAAAAAAATTGGGATCAACCTGAGAAAGTTTACCCAGTGTTTATCTGCATTTTGTAACACATTCTTGTATCTCCCCCCACCTTCCTTTTCTAAACCTTGCATGAATTTCTACATGGAAAAAGATGTGTTGAACCAGAAAAAGTTTAATTCTGAAGTTGTGTGTGTGTGTGTGTGGGGGGGGGGGGGGGGGGGGGGTGCGGATGCCTTTTCAGTTTGCAAATGCTGAAACAAAATGTTTTGTTATTTTTTGGACATTTTCATTCCTTTTCTTCCCCCTTTTCGGCAGGAGCTATTTGCTAAAATAAACTTGATTTCCCAAGGGCCCAGGTGTTTTTGTGGGTGTTATCTTTCATTGGACCAACTGCACGCCTGGGATCATGTTAGACAAGCTTTCAAATGCAAGGCATTCTTCACATCTGTAGACCTGATTTCACAAAATAGCTTGGGTATCTGAAAATCCCTATTTCTGCAATGCTTATTTACTGTGTCCCCAAGAAAATATTTCTCTCCTCTTTATTTGTGATACCTGCAAAACATTTGAAATGGTTAGGCAGCTGGCATGTCGATCCCATGCTATTCCTATTATCCTGAATGGTGGCATTATTCTCTTCTCCAGCTCCCTTGATTTGCTGCATATACCTGTTGTGTGTCATCTTCAGCTGTGTGCCAGTCACTATGGGTTGCTGAATGCCACAATGAAAAGAGCTGCAATAGCAACACAGGAAGGATGAATTTTCAGGATGTGCCACCAGCAATGCTTGGCTTGAATAAATACAAGTATTTTATAAATAAATTAGTATTTCTACAGCACTGTAGTGTGTGCACCGAGTCCTGCAACCATCACACCAAGACCTTCGATGTGTATGCCTAGGCAAGAGTATGGAGGAATAGAGGCTGCCCAAGAACTACCACCCCCTTTTTAGACCACTGAGACAAAGTCAAAAAGTCAGACCAAGTGTGGATGTCCAGTGCCTCAATGGTTGTAGCTTCTGCTAGTGAGTAACAGAGAACGGCTGCTGACTCCCTAACACCTTAGTGAGGATGCACTTCTATCAGGGTGATTCCCTTTAGTCTTCCTCCAGCCAAGAAGCACCCACAAAGCAGTGGAAACTAGGGTTTTGAAGCACCTTATACTCTCTTTACTCTGGAGATTGCAGCATTTTATAGGAGCTACCCCACCACGAGTAGCCCTACTGCATTGCCGCCAGGCCCTCCAGTTGGCTGCAGTTTACGGTCATACCCAGGTTTATTATATACAAGTACACACGCTGCCGTGCTCCAGCCAGGCTCCCTCCTAAACTGGGAGCAAGGTAGCCTCCTTTGCACACTTCTTTGGGCTCCCTAATGAGAAGTGGTGAGTGCCAGGGCCAGTTAGCACAACCCCAAGGTAACGAGCCCTCCCATGGCATGGACCATTTTAGGGGCCGCTCACCTGGAGCAGCGTAGCATACTTCCCAGGGCAGTAAGTTTGTCGGGCCAGCATAATTGAAGTGACGTAGGAGGCCATCATCCATGCCGGGAGGAATAAGCAGATTTGGAGGTTTCACTCGATTAACCTCAGCCACTGCCCCATGCCTAAATGTAACCGCTTAAATATAACAAGCAAAACCCAATTGCTTCAGGCAAGGTGAAAGGCAGGCAGGATGGAGGTGACCCCTACTCCTTCACCGTGACATTTCTAGACATTTCCTAGTGAAGGATATCCATGGGTGAGGGAGGACACTGCCCCACCTCTTCTTTGTCTCAGCCAGCTAGTAATAAAGTCTGTCCAGCTTTTCATCTTTGATGGCTTTCCAGCAGGGGCAACTCTTCAGCTTTTACCGCTTTAGCCCAGTGCCCCCAAACTAGGCTACAAAGACTGATTCATTCCTGTTTCATGACCTTAGGAGACTTGGATTTCAGCAGAGCCCTGTCATTTCCACACTGTGTGGCAGCCTCATTGCTTGCCCTTGCTGATAATTTTAGCTTTTAAGAGCTCATTGTTCAGGGATCAAGCATGTAACAGAGTCCTGTCTTTCGCCTGCCAATCTTCCTGCTTTATGACCCAAGCACCTGTCCAACCAGCAGTAAAAAAAAAAAAAGAAAAAGAAAAAAAAAAAACCCCTTATGAACATAACAGGCCAGTAGGAACAAAACCCCAGACTGACTCCTACCCCAGCTGTCTCATGAAGGTGGTTACAGCTATGAATGACTTGAACGGCGACACTTGCCTGCACTCTCGAAGGCTCCTCAATGACCCGCTGCAATAAATAGCAATCAATTGGCACAAGATGCTTCTGTTGGCCCAAAGGATGCCTTTGAGGGACCTCGTGCCATGGGGAAAAGCTAAATATAGTTCCTTTGGCTTCTGAAATGAGCCAGGGTCTTTCTGAGAACTTCTCACATCACATCTCACACGCCTTTTGACAAGGGGAGGTTGCTAAGAGCACATCTTTGCAGGGCTCCAGCATCTGCACTAGCTTTCCAGGAGCAATTCAAGGTGCTGGGTTTGACCATAAATGGTCTGGACCCTATGTACTGAAGGGACTGCCTTCTTCCTCACACCCCATTGCTATTCCCGAGGTCAGACAAGAGCAGCCTCCAGCAAGTAACATCAGTGTGCCAAGTGATTCCCAGCCACTGCTCCTCAGCTCTGGAAAGCCCTCCTCCTTGAGCCACCTGAGTCTGAGCATGGATGTCTTTCAGGAGCTCTGCAAGACCTTGCTATTTGAGCAGGCATGTAGCAACCCAAAGTAGGCTGAGATGTTGCTGAGGCAGGTTTCTATCTTATGTTGATATCCTAGTTCCCATTTCAGTCGTTTTATTGTTCTCCTGTTTTATGGGTATTCTGTTTCTCTTCTTGTAAGCCACCCTAAGCCTCGTTGGCATATATATTGCATAAACAGTCTGCTGGTGTTCGGCTCTGCTCTGCTGATTTATTGTCTCGGAGGACTCAACCCCATCCCACTGGGGTCATGGGCAATGATCCCACGGACTTTAACTGTAGCAAGGTTGCAAGGGACTCCAGCATTTAAAAAGTGCCTAAGTTGCTAAGTAAACAGAAATCCCATTTGCAAAAATGTCTTAGGCTTTTCAATGTGTCAGGTATCCAGGTTGTAGCCAAAAGGCAAAAAGGAATCAGGACTCATGGTAGAGGTGATATATTTTATTAGACCAACTAGTTTGCAAAAAAAAGGTCTTTAATTGCAAGCTTTCGGGCACAAACATCCTTCTCCAGGCATAGGAGAATAAGCTGTAAAAGTTTTCTTGGGTAGCAATGAAAGTTCATATTTCATAGGAGAGTTAAAGGTATGGTAAAATCTCCTGCTTGGAGCATTTAAAAAAAAAACAGTTTAAAAAAAAAAACAACTGTTCCAAACAGGTGATTTTAGCACACCTTCAACTCCTAATGAACTTTCCTTTCATTGCTACCTAGGAGAACTCTTACAATCTTTCCTCCTATGCCTGAAAAAGGGTGTTTGTGCCTGAAAGTATGCAATTAAAGATTTTTTTTTTTTGCAAAAATGTAGTTGGTCTAAAAGATAAAAGATATCCCCTCTACCACAAGTTCAACTTCCTTTTAGGCTTTTTAATGGCTTTGAAAATCTCACCCTTGGTCATCCTTTCCTCTGTCCTTCTACCACAGCTATGTTGTTCTAAAACCAGGCCCATATTATTGTCTGGTCTGTAGCCTGTGTCGATGAAAACTAAATAAGAGTAAAAACCCTTGGTCAATTAAGACCATCCTTTCTAATATCGCCTTGAATAGGTTTAAGCTAGCTTTAAACTCAGCTAAGTCAGAACAGGGGCAGCTGAAGACAGCACTTGCCCCAAGAGCTACCACCATGGAAAAATAGTTTCTACAAAAGATTAACTCATCAAAACCAATTCAACAGGGTGCACAATTATAGACACAGGGGCAACTGTAAATCAAGCAATTATAACTTTTGAGTGCACCCTAAATAACGCTCTTTTAAATGACCCTTGCTGTAATTTTTAGGCTGGCTATAAAAACAGATGGTAAATAATGTTTTAAATGGGTTATTTTAACCGGTGCAAGTCTTGCTTGCTTTCATTCTGGTTGAAGACTAGCTTATTTGTGGCTAGGTTAAACTTGTCCCTAATTGATGGACGGAAATAAACCAGAAGCCTAGCTCCTGTGATCACAGGG